ATATAAATCTAATATATATCCAAAGTCGTGCTTTCAAGACATGGGAAACACAAGTTAAATTTCAACAGTCAGTCCAGTAGAACGGGAGCTGTAGAACTGTCCCTCCCTTTTTTGTGTGTGTGCAAGGTTTGTATGTTTGCCTGAAAGCGAATTGTGATTTATTATGAACAATTTTGCTACAATCATACTTAAACTGTTCCAAACTATATGTAATAAACTGTGTAACTATTAGCAGTTCCAAAATTCACTAATATATCATACACTGATTGTTAGCAAATTACAGTGTAAATATATATTTTTCTATATAATGAGATTGTAGATAAAATACTAGCTACTTTATTTGAAATGAGGAATGTTAAGCATATTTGAGAGATTGTGAATGTTCTATTTGCAAAACAGGAGATATAAGTCTTCAGCACATTTGAAAATACTGTGGAAAATGTTTTCATTCCCTTAAATTCCCCCCCCTTTTTTTTTTCGCATCTTGACAGCAAATTGTGATGCTATTCATGATTAAAGTTTTACTAGATTGTCTGAATGAGAAATTTTCTGTGATGGATTTGTCAGAATGCCAAAATTTCATAGTCTGGATATTTCAAACTTGTCTGTCAATTGAACTGAAAACTGTATGAAGGGTTCATGCATATAAATTTTCTGATGAAATAATAAACAAGCAAGTGTATTTAATTACTGTACAAATATCTGCAAATTTTTTCTGTTGTTTATAGTGTTTTGCAAAGATAAATTTACTGAAGATTTTTGAACAAATCTGTCAAGTTAAATATATCAAAAGTTAATGGTTATAAATTATTTTGAATTGAATGTTTCCAAGAATGCAGATTTTTGATACTTTGATTTTGGCTTTCAACATGAACTGATAATTTTGAAATATTTTTATGAAAATATAAGTTCATAAATTATTACTATATGAACTACAAATATTAACTGTTATGGCTATTTTATCTGGATATCGAATTATTTTGTTAAAATATTTTGAATAAACTTTATTGTATCACCAGCTATTATTCAAATATTTTTCTGTATCATGCTCATAAATGTGTTTTCGTGTTCTTCATTTTAAAATGCCAGATGCATTTTATGTTGTAATCATGAAATAAGTCATATCATAATAAGTTATTTCACATATTTTGGAATGAATTATTTACCTATAGCGGTATAAAAGAAATCATATACAGTCAAAAGTCTTTAATCTGGACTCGTCGGGACTTCGGCGATTCCGGATTATAGATCATCAGTTTAAATCTCGTAAGATGGCATGCAGAAATTCTAAAATTAAAAATATGAAACCGTAATTTATGAAATAAAGAACAATTATGATCTAAAGGGTATCAAAATTTACAAAAAAAAAAAAAAAAAGCTTAATATTTATTTGTTTACTTTATTAAACATTTCTTTTAATGTAAGTTGTTTAAGTTGCTTCGTTTTATGTGATAATACTTTCTCTTTAATTCTATAAACAGACATAATTTCTTGTTCAGTTACAAAGTTCCGCTGTTCAAGTCCCGTAATTGCTGTGCCAAGAATACCGACTAACTTGTCAATCGAAATTTTTTCGTTTTCACTAACCTCTCTGTCACATTCGTTATGTCTTTATCCATTTTTTGCAGCAATTCCACTTTTTGTTTGATGGACATCGAAACATACTTTCGTTTTGTAGATCCTTTGGGAGCTCCAGCATAGGAAATTCTATTTGACATAATTGAAAGTTCAAGTTTAGTTTTATAAAATTGCTTTTACAATCTGCAAAAAATAATAAGCCGGATCCACTTCGAAGATTAAGTGACAACGCAATCAACATTAACTGAAATAGATAATTAGATAATTTTAGCTTATACCGTCCGTTATACATTAAACGCGCACGCAAAAACGTATTCTGCGCTTGCGCACACGCATATGAGCCATCGTAAAGGTCTTGCACGCACGTGTAAACGCCTATGCGCATGTGTCAACGCGGCGCATGCGCAGAAAGTTTTTAGCTTTGAGGTCCGGATTATGGGTGTCCGAATTAACGACTTTTGACTGTAATGATAAGTTATTTTATGTATTGTTGAATGAATTATTTATCTGTTGTAATATAATAGAAATTCTATTTTAGAGCATATTTTATTTAATAATAACTTTTTTGCATATTTAAAACAATTTGTATGTTAATACTTAAAGCACACAACAGATGAAAGTTTTTATTTTTTATAACCTTTAATAGCATTTAAAGTTTAAGAATTAATAAATATATTTCTTATAAAGTAGTGTCTACTGTGTTACTTTAAAATATTGTTACAAAATGCCCAGCTGTGATAAGATAGCTTCTCTGCAAAGTTGGTTTAGGGTTGCCAAAGGAAGGCAGTGTTGTTGGATTTGGCTCGAAATCGCCCATTTGGCGATATTCCATACACGGAGCGAGAACATTCTAGAACAAATTCTTACTGGTTTGCCTCAGAATGTTCACGAAGGCAGACAAAAAAAAAAGAGCTATACAGTCAAAAGTCGTTAATTCGGACACCCATAATCCGGAATGATCTATAATCCACACATGCGCATAGGCGTTTACACGTGCACGTAAGACCTTTACGACTGCGCATATGCTTGCGCACAAGTGCAGAATACGTTTTCGCGTGCGCGTTTAATGTATAACGGATGGTATAAGCTAAAATTATCTATTTCAGTTAATGTTGATGATTGCGTTGTTCCTTAATCTTCGAACTAGATCCGGCTTATTACCTTTTTCAGACTGTAAGAGCAATTTTATAAAAGTAAACTTGAACTTTCGATTATGTCAAATAGAATTTCTGATGCTGGAGCTCCCAAAGGATCTACAAAACAAAAGTATGTTTCGATGTCCATCAAACAAAAAGTGGAATTGCTGCAAAAAATGGATAAAGACATGAAGAAGGTGACAGAGAGGTTAGTGAAAACGAAAAAATTTCGATTGACTAGTTAGTCAGTATTCTCGGCACAGCAATTAGGGGACTTGAACAGCGAAACTTTGTAACTGAACAATAAATTATGTCTGTTTATAGAATTAAAGAGAAATTATTATCACATTAAACGAAGCAACTTAAACAACTTACATTGAAAGAAATGCTTAATAAAGTACACAAATAAATATTAAGCTTTTTTTTGGGAAATTTTGATGCCCTTTAGATCATAATTGTTCTTTATTTCATAAATTACAGTTTCATATTTTTAATTTTAGAATTTCTGCATACCATCTTACGAGATTTAAACTGATGATCTATAATCCGAAAAAAATCGATAAACCGGAATCGCCGAAGTCCCGATGAGTCCGGATTAACGACTTTTGACTGTATAAACCCTGCCTGTACACGAAGTAGCAGTGTATTGCGAGTTTTATCGTGAAGAGTATCTTGAGCCGAGAGCAAACGAACCGAGTCGGGAGCTGTACTTTAGTGCTTAGCCACGAAGCTGTCTTCACCCTTATAGCCTGAAGCCTAAGATGCTGATTGTTTCAGCGTGCTTGTTCGTAGTTTTTTTATGACTGTAAATGTGTTTTTGGAGCTGTCTTGAGTAAAACTGGCTAATAAATTGTGTTTTGATTCTTCGTTAAGTGTTGTTATCAATCACTCCAAATCCACGAACCCGTAAAATGCAACAATATATCTAGTTGTAATGAAAGTTTTTCTCCAAAAAACATTCCTAAACAGTTAGGGAAAAAAATGAAAAAAGACCTTTAGTGCAGGTAGTCCCCACCCAAATCTATGATTTTCTGCTAACATTTTGGTAATTTTTCCAAGCCTTCACCCTAGAAACTTGGTGGCCGTGAGTCCAAAAACAAATCAGCCTCATTTCAGGCATCCTGTGCAGCATGGAGAATAGCACAGCTAGATGTAGCTGCAGGTGTGAAAAAAGGTAGAAGTCCTAAGGAGCGATGATGGGGCTATATGGTGGGTGTAGCAATAGATTCCATTCGAGTCCTGCCTGTGAATGAGACCCATGTGGTCTTGCATCATCTTGATGGAACATTACCTTTTTGTGGCAGAACTCAGTTTGACGTTTTTCCTTGATAGCAGGAATAAATGATAAAAAGTCTATGATTGAATTCACTATAATTTTTTTTAAAGCTTCATCAGCAGAAAAATTTAATGCCGAAGAACTGGTCAGTAACTCTGATTCTGCTGCATAGGCAAGTTTTCCAGGTAGGTGGTGCTTACATTTTTCTGGAAAATATCTGGATCCAAACGTAAAGTGGTAATAACACAGTTTACTATTCGGGTTGTAATGCTTCTGACTTTTGACTCTGCTTCTAGACAATAATCTGTTTTTTCTTTATGTTCTGTGATTTTTTTAATTTGGTTGGTGATGGAATTGGAGCTCTTCAGCCTGCAGTTCCAACGAAGATATCTTCTCCAGTAATTATGGAATGATATTTGGTGATGTGCTCTAATTCTTAACTTCAGTTGAATGAGCTTCATATACTTCATTGTTTGTGAATGCATGTCAAAAATCTTATCAGCCATAATCACCATATCAATACCTTCATTACTAACTACCAATATATGTTTAACTTGGTGCGGTGATTTTTTAGTCCATAATGTTTTTAATACCATGTGAGAATAATCACTGGGTTGTCAAGAATTTCCTTTTTTTTTTTTTTTTTCGTGTGTGCGTAATAGTGGCTTGATTTCATGTCACCAATTTCACTGGCAGTGAAAAGGCCTTTAATTCCTTTGTTTCACTTTCATAATTTAATAAATGCTCGGTAAAATTCTAGTAGTATATGGTATGGCCTTGGCGTGATTTTGAAAATAGTCGGCAACACCAAACTGGCTCGTTTGCTCCTCATCATTATGTCGCCAAATCCCATGAACCAGAGAAAATTTTCAAGTGGGACAAAACATGAGAATAAATAATGACAATCTAGTGTCTTTATCCTATTTGTTAAATATTTCTTTGAACACATAAATAAAAATATGTTGATTTGCATGTAAATAATTGTAAACTTTCTTTTATTCTTATTACAGCTTGGCACTGGATGGAATGGCATTTCAGTTCCGACAAAGTTACCATGAAGAGAACTGACTAGAAATTATCTTTATCACAAATTGTAGATGCTCATCACCGAGTCGGATTCTCATTGATTTTTTAACTGTGAAAAAAACCTGCTCCCATATAAATGAGACTTTATAACAGAGAAACCTGTGTTAACAATAGCTCTTAAATTCTGTTTATTTTCGAAGGTAAACTGGAGAACAAAACATTATATGCATGAATGACAGGAGCAAAACAAAGGTCAAATTTATAAGCTTTTATTTAGCTCACTCATGGTGTTTGTGGCTATGGTCAAAAGTTTTAATCAGTTTTTAAACTACTTCCTGATAAGTTACCGAGTTCAAATTTTGGACTGTGAATGATAATAAAGTGTGGTGAAAACAATTTTTTTCAAAATTTAAATTTTTTTAATTTAATTTTGAAATGATTTTTTCACATGCATCTTCATTTATTATTATTATTTACGTGTTTCACCTTAAGGCACTACAAGGAAGGGTGGGATATCTTCATTTAACAAACAAAATAAATACGGTTTATAGATCATCAATTTAAATCTGGTAAGATGGCATGCAGAAATAATACAATTAAAAATATGAAACCGTAATTTATGAAATAAAGAGCAATTATGATTTAAACGGTGTCAAAATTTACAAAAAAAGCTTAATATTTATTTGTTTAATTTAGTAAACATTTCTATCAATGTAAGTTGCTTCGTTTTTCGTGCTAATACTTTCTCTTTAAGTCTATAAACAGAATAATTTCTGTTCAGTTACAAAGTTCCAATGTTCAAGTCCTGTAATTGCTGTGTCGAGAATAGACTAAACTGTCAATCAAAATTTTTTCATTTCCAATAACGTTCTCCGTTACTTTCTTCACTATCGGAAGCGCGCATGGGTAAACGCTTTACTGGCTCTATGCGCATGCGTAGCTAAGGCGCACATCAAACGTGCATGCGTAAGTTTGTAGCTTTGAGGTCCAGATTAAAGATCATTCCGGATAATAGACGTCCGGATTAGAGACTTTCTACTGTATTTGTTTTGCAGCACAGAGCTGAAAAAAAATCTTTCAAATTTTTAATGCAATTTCTGATTTTTGAAAATTCCTCAATTTTATTTACTATTTGACTTAAGAATAACCTTTAGAAATGTATGTTATAAAGTTTTGAAATTCACAGTTTATGAATTAAACTTCTTGCCTTCTTTTGAAACAAGAATGATTAAAAATTATTAACCCAACAACTTTCTAGAATTTTTTTAAAAATTAACCCTGCTTTATAAGCTTTTATTTAACTTAATAATGGTATTAGTCACTACGAACAAAACTTTGCCATTCATTTTTAAACTACTATCTGATAAGGTATCGAGCTTAAATTTTGCTCATGTGCTCATTGTAGATGATAATATAAGGTGAGAAAGAGAGTTTTTCAAAATTTGATCGAGATAATTTACAATTTAGTTTTGAAACGTTTTTTTACACATATCTAACAAACAAAATGTTACTGTTTGCATCATCGAATAGAACGAAAAAAATCTTTAAATGAAGTTTTATATGAGATTTTCACAAAATTTGATTTTTTGTCAAAATTAGTGGATTTTTTGATGTAACAGAATTGTTTGAAGTACAAAAGTAATTATTCATTCTTAAAAAATAATTTTATATTTCAATAATATGATTGATAATGTGTCTCTCTGACTAAAAAGATGAAAGAAATAATAATAGAAGTTTTTATAAAATAAGCTTTTATTTAAAACTCGTAAAATCATTAACAACTTAAAAGGAGAAAAATAATGTATCATAGTTTAATGGGAACAAGAGATCCATAATTTTCTTTACAAAATTTATCTACGGTTTTATATCACGAATAATAAAAGTATGGGATCTAAATGACGAAATTGAATAATTTAACTGCATTGTCAAAGTAGAATTCATAATTAATGCCATGTACATTAAATAATCTTTCTTGCCATTGATGACGGCAAAAGGTATCATTACAGATATTACAAAGATTATTACTTTGAATTCAAAAGGAAGAGTTTTATAAGAATAATTTGTTTGAAAAAAAATTTAAATATCAAAAGAAATATTAACGCATTTGTGTATGCCTGCGTGTATGTATGTATCTTATTAAAAAGAAAACAAACAAAAAAAATCCAACAACATATATTATATTTAGTTTATTTAAAACAGTACACAGCTGCAAAGAAAAAATAAATAAATAAATAAATTTTCTATTCATAATGTGCTCCCCCCCTTTTTTTTTTACTTGTAAAGGAAAACATCTTGATGAAGCACTAGCCAAATGATTTACAACATTGGCAAATTCAAATTCTATTACATGTAATTTTTTATTTTTTAATTCTAATTTAAGAAATACAGCACAATGATTTTAGCCATGTACAAATAGAACATAGTTTTCAGTTACCATTATAATAGTATACAAATAATAAACTACAACAGTATTCAAAATATCTTATCACAGCCAATCATATCTTAGAGAAATCTATAATATTATTTCATGGTCCTCATTCTTGAACTGTCCATCAGATTGTCCAATTACCCATGCTAATGCACTAAATCTTCTAGTAGAAACTATAATACTGAGTTAAATCTCTTAACAAAAGCACTTTTAACAATAGTTATGTACAACTAAAGACTAGAAAATTATCAAACATTTAAAATGTACTGATGGATTACTGATTTGTAAATTGAAACAAAGTATAAAAGAATTAAACTAATCAATTCCAAACTCTTATTCTGGGTGGCATATTTCATAGAACATAAAACATTTGCATGATTAAAGATGGATATAAAACATCTAAATAGCTAATGCTGCATTAATTCTGAATAAGGCAAGAGTCATTTTATGTATTGTTGAAGAAGTACAGAAGGCACTATCTTATACAAACTACTCTGAAATGATAAAAAAAAAAATACCCATTCTCTGTTAATAAAATGCTGGTCAAAAAGTAATGAGACAATAAATACAATTAACATCATCCACATGCTTCTTCGCTGCTCAACAGTATAGTGGTTATCGTCCCTGACTACCATGCCAAAGAGCCCTGGCTTCGAATCTTGGAAAAGGCATGGACGTTTGTAAATGTATAGTGTCCGTGCCGCATGGGAGCACTCTAAATATGTGGTGAGCCGAAAGTCCTCTCGAGAGGTTCGTGGTTAGGGGGAAAGGGGTGGGAGATCATCGGACCCATTACCCCGCCCCAAGTTGCTCTCAGCTGTTGCTGGGGTTGGAACTGAGGTAAATCACACTGTCACCTGTAAGGAGCTCAAGGCTGTTGCCAATAATAGGTGTAAACTTGCACTCCTTGCCGCAAGGAATTTCGTGGGCTTGGGCTGACTATAAGTCAGACAAGTGAGCATTAGCAACATGCTTCTTTTTTATATATTCTGATCTATATCTAATATATCTGCTTAACATATCCATTTTTAGAATATTAAAATAAAGCCTTTTTTTTTTAATTTTTTAGGCTATATAATTTAGAAGTACAGTTAAAAGTCGTTAATCCGGACTCGTCGGGGCTTCGGCGACACCGGATTACCGATTTTCCGGTTATAGCTCACAGTTTAATCTGGTAAGATGGCATGCAAAATTCTAAAATTAAAATATGAAACGAATTTATGAAATAAAGAACATTATGATTAAAGGGTTCAAAATTACCAAAAAAAAAAAGCTTAATATTATTGTTTACTTATTAAAATTTCTTTAAGTAGTTGTAAGTTGATTGTTTATTGCTAATACTTTCTCTTTAATTTACTAACAGACATAATTTCTTGTTCAGTTACAAGTTCTGCTGTTCAAGTCCTGTAATTGCTGTGCCGAGAATATGACTAACTTGCAATTGAAATTTTTTTCGTTTTCACTAACCCTCTGTCACTTTTTCATGCCTTTATCCATTTTTGCAGCAATTCCTTTTTTTGATAGACATTGAAACATACTTTCGCTTGTAGATCCTTTGGGAGCTCCAGCATCAGAAATTCTATTTGACATAATCAAAGTTCAAGCTTGCTTTTATAAAAGCTCTGACGTCTGCAAAAAATAGTAATTCCAATTCGAAGATTAAGTAACACGCAATTGCAACATAACTGAAATAGATAATTAGATAATTTTACTTATACCTCCGTGATGCATTAACGCACTGCTCGACGTATTTGCGCTTGCGCACCGCATATGCGTAGTCGTAAAGGTCTTACGCGCATGCGTCAACGCGAAGCATGCGCAGAAAGTTTGTAGCTTTGAGGTCCGGATTATGGGTTTCCGAATTAACGACTTTTGACTGTATATGTAATTTGCATATGTTATTCTATGATCATTTGTGAGCAATTGTGTATATCATCATTTTTTCTAAATATGTGGTGAGCCGAAAGTCCTCTCGAGAGGTTGGTAGTTAGGGGAAAAGGGGTGGGAGATCATCGGACCCATTACCCCCCAGGTTGCTCTCCATCAATGCTGGGGTTGGAATTGAGGTAAATCACACTGTCACCTGTAAGGAGCTTAAGGCTGTTGCCAATAATAGGTGCAAACTTGTATTCCTTGCCACAAGGACTTTCGTGGGCTTGGGCTGACTATAAGTCAGACAAGTGTGCATTAGCAACATGCTTCTTTTTTATATATTCTGATCTATATCTAATATATCTGCTTAACATATCCATTTTTAGAATATTAAAATAAAGCCTTTTTAAAAAAAAAAAAAAATTAGGCTATATCATGTAGAAGTACAGTTAAAAGTCGTTAATCCGGACTCGTCGGGACTTCGGCGATACCGGATTACCGATTTTTCCGGATTATAGATCATCAGTTTAATAATCAGTCTAAATAATAGAAGAATAAATATTACCAGAAATGGAGAAACAAAATTCTAAATGTCATTAAAGAACAATATTTACAATAGTGCTGGAATAATGTAACTGAGTTCAAACTCCCATAAAAAATGAGCATTTTCTGTTTTTTATTATACATTGTTTATATATTTTGGGCTATGTATAATTAAATTATAGACTGTTGTAAATAAAAAAAAAAAAAACAGATATTAAGACATCAACTGCTATCACTCTGTTATCACAAGCAGGCTTCTTTTCCTTTTTGTTATTTTCTATACACAGCTTATTGGTGCTTCATGATTGTAAATTTTCTATCATTTCACAATAAACAAATTAAACTTTTTTTTTCTAAAATAGGGCTGGGTTAATCTATCCTCAGTTAATCAGGTTTAAATGTATAACCACAATTATCATTTATTTTCAACTACTTCTAAAAACTCATTAACCTGTTTTTAGGAAGGTGTTTGTAATGAGAAACAACCTTAACTTGGTCATACCTCACAGGGTTAAAGGTTTCATGGAAGGGAGGTGGGGGCAATTATTATTAATATTATTATTTTTTTTTTTTTTTTTTTTTTTTTTCATTTCAGCAATTACAATTTTCCTCTTAACTCCACCTCTTGTTCTTCAGCTGAAAGCATTTGTCTCATTACTCTTTGATCAATCTTCAGTCTACTATAGTTTGATAAAACATTCTTCATTTACTGAACTTTGAAATTAACCGTTAGGAATACAAGAATTAACCCGATGTTACTCTTTCCAGGCTTCTGAGGCCCGATCAGTTTGTTAAAGCTCTGTGAACCCTACCCCTTAAGACTGAAATGATGAAATGTCTTAAATTATGTTGTTAATAAATGCTTAACGTGGTGTATAAAATATAAATCTATAAACGGGCCTCAGAGGTCCGGCACAAGCACTTGCATACGTTCAATTAGCACTAGTAATGCCAGGTTAAAAACTTTTTCAGCTTCAGAGCGATACTTTTCTAACAAATCTAAAATTTATGTCTGTTTTCAGAAGAGGATGGTATTACAGTCAAAAGTCGTTAATCCGGACTCGTCGGGACTTCAGCGATTCCGGATTATAGATCATCAGTTTAATTCTGGTAAGATGGCATGCAGAAATTATAAAATTAAAAATATGAAACCGTAATTTACGAAATAAAGAAAAATTATGATTTAAAGGGTATCAAAATTTACAAAAAAAAAAAAGCTTAATATTTATTTGCTTACATTATTAAACATTTCTTTCAATGTAAGTTGTTTAAATTGCTTCGTTTTATGTGATAAACTTTCTCTTTAATTCTATAAACAGACATAATTTCTTGTTCAGTTACAAAGTTCCGCTGTTCAAGTCCTATAATTGCTGTGTCGAGAATACCGACTAATTTGTCAATCGAAATTTTTTCGTTTTCAATAACCTCTGTGTCACTTTCTTCACTATCAAATGTGAATTATAATGACGAGGAATTTGATTTAAATCATATCAAAGACCGAGTACATCAAGATGAAATACTACATTTAGTAAGGAATTATAAGCCAAATAAAATTAAAACATCTGCCTTGAAGATAAGGTTAGTGCTGACAGATCAACTTCCAATTCATTGCGCACTGCAATGTTCCCCCCCACCGCAGAGCAGCGTGAAATTGATAAACAGATTTCGGAATGGTTAGATAAACAAGATTATACTTTATCCATTTTTTGCAGCATCCACTTTTTTGTTTAATGGACTTCGAAACATACTTCGCTTTGTAGATCCTTTACATATTAGTAAATCTATATCGGACATTCTGTTTGATTAATCGAAAGTTCAAGTTTACTTTTATAAAATTGTTCTAACAGTCTGCAAAAATATAAGCCAGATCGAATTCGAAGATTAAGGAACAACGTAATCTGCAACATTAACTGAATTAGATAATTTTAGCTTAGCTTATACCGTCCGTTAAACATTAAACACGCATGCGTAAATGTATTATGCGCATGCGCACACGCATGTTCACAGCCGTAAAGGTCTTACCAGCATGCGTCAATGCGAGGCATGCGCAGAAAGTTTGCAGCTTTGAGGTCCGGATCATAGATCATTCCAGATTATGGGTGTCCGAATTAACGACTTTTGACTGTATCACCTTAAATTAGAGCAGAATAGTTGAACTTTAAAATCTGTCATTGTTAAGTTATACAGAGTGATAATATAAAGCACTGAGAGAAACTGCCTTTAATGCTGAAGACAATTTTAACTCTCTTCTCACTTCTATCTAAAAAAGCTCTTACTTTTATTAATATTTGTTTTAAAAAAAGAAATGTATTTTAAAATTTGTGCATTTATTTTTACTTCTCGATATCTTTAATGCCTTACTCCCCCCCCCCACAAAAATATAATAAATACAATTTTCTATAGTCATTACACAAAATGAATTAGTATAACAAATTGTATAGCCTATATGTTAGTTATTATATATTCACAATTACACAATGTTATGATTAAATACTTAAATATTTTCTACCTCTAACAACTATTTTTTAACCATGCATATAAATTGAATATATTAAAATATATATGGCATTATGAACTTTCAAAGTATGCTTAGCATATTAGCTGTTTAGCAAAGTCACTTCTCGTCAATAGGATTCAAACATAGGTCAATATAGTTTCATTTTATAATTAATAAATTTTAATGATAAATGAAATGCTAAAGCACTGTTCTAGGCATTTGATATTTTCTGCACCTCCACCAATACTCAAGTATATTCATACAGATTTAATGTGTTTTATTATTATTATTATTATTTATATTTTTTATTATATATTTCCTAATAATCTCTCATTTGCACTTAATTAGAACATCATAATGACACATTTGAAATTGAACAAATAAATTTAAAAGATGTCAGGAAATATATTCATCCTCTTACATTATATTTCAGGAGGAAAACCAATGATGGCAACTTACTTCCTGCAATATATTGCTATGTACTTATTTTGTGCCTTAACAAGCACTAGTGCATAACAGATTAGGATGCAATGATTCTAAAGAAAAAATTGTACTTTCTGTTTATCTGCATACCACCCAAAAAGTCATGAAATGGTACTCATAAGGCAAAGCTCTTTGTTCCCAAAATAATTATGTAACAACCCACGATGTTGGCAAAAATTATCAATGTGACAACCCAGGTTTGCATGCACCACATGAAAGTTTTGACCAGTGAAAAGAAAAAAAAAAAAACATTGTGCAAGTTGTAGTTAGCTGAGTTTGTGAAATTTGATGATACTTTTATCAAGTGACAACAAACTGCTGTGTGCATGAGAACAACAGCAGCACATACACAAAAAAAGATTTCTTGGAAAAAGGTAAGTATTTTATTATCAATGTTTCTTGATTTTTTTAAAATTAATTATTGGTTGCTCTTATATCAAATTTTGAGTGTGTTGCCATTTTGAAATGGTTGTACATCAGCTCTGTAAAAAAGCAGTCACTAACAAATTTGCGAACGCTCTCAAAAGTCATGAACAAGTTCACGATTTTTGAGTGTGAAATGCAGATCTTCAGAAAGTACCAAAAATGCTTGGGAACAAGATTACACATGCTTGTTATAAAAATTAAATTAGTGTCATTTGTCTAAATCATTATTCTCTTTTAGGAAGAATGCATTAGTCTTCTGATGACCAAGACCTATACACACAAAACAAAAGCAAATTTTTGAGCTGTAAAAAAAGTGGAGTTGTACAGTGGAGAGTACAGTTTGTTTTCTCTGTAATATGTATGCATTATTCTTCATTATCAAAAAATTCAAATGAATTTGCATCTTATAAACTGCTAGACTGGCCCTTTAATTTAATTGTATTTTAGAAAATCAAACTTCAGGCATTTGTGACATATTTACCTTGCTCGAAACATTATTGTTATAACATTTCCCAGTTCATAATTGACTGTAGTTTCTACTCATTCATAAATACCATCCAAAAAGAAAAATAAATATCATAAGGCACTGAAAGATTAGGAACTATTAATCATATTCTGAACCAAGTGTGAGACTCATTTCATCTCCTTCTATAACAGTTGTATGGTACCACTGATTTGTGTCAACTAAAATTATGTCTCCTTGGTAAACTGTTATATTTATTGGTACACACAAGCTTTCACATTCAGGAGGTGGCAGAAGATACCATGTTTTTTTCCCTTTAATCTGTGCTTGCCATGAAGGTCTGCGGACATAATCCAGATGCATACTTGCACCTGTCCCTTTATATCCCATAAAAATCCAGTCAATAGCACTTAATTCAGAATCATCAGGCAAAAAATAAGGTCTTGTATAATGCTGCCTCAAGACAGATGATATATCTGGATTACAGTTGCTCCTAAAAATAAAAATTAATAAAAATAAATTTATAAAATAGGGTTATATCAAGAAAGCTATGAAGGGATTCAATAAGTTAAATATAATGTAATACTTGTGGAATGATGGAACATCATGCAATGATTGATCATCTTAGGAAAAATAATCAGGAAACCACACACAACAGATGCTATTTAATTTTTAAGAGGTTTTAAAATGTTGTCAATCAGTGGTGTTTGTTAATTGAAAACAACAAACAATATCTGAGTTCTTGACAAAAGAAAGCATGTCACAAACAAACTTTCATGAATATCTATTTATGGCGACAGTTTATGGTGACAAGCATCTTCTTATCTGACTTAGAAATGATGAGTTGTTATGTTCAGACAAGGAAGAAAATTATTCAAAGATAAATCCATGACCAATGTGTGGATATGAATACTGGAGAAATCAGTACTGAAGGAATAGATGGATGGAAAATAGACCAGCAACAGTTTATCAGATTGTTACAGAAATGGGCATCAGACCTGGAACAGTAGAAAAGTCTTAGATAAAAAGCTGAGAATGTCAAAGGTCTTCAAAAAATGGTACTGAAAATATTGATACCAGACATCATTTTCAGGGATAGGAAAGGACCATTGCTTATGGATTATTGGCCACATAATACCCCTATAAGTAGTGCTTATTATGTTAATTTTTAAACTCAACTTTAACATACCATGGCAAACTCAACAGAAAAATATTGATTTTGCACAATAGCACTCCAGCACACAATGCACAATTTCTAAGACTGCTATTCAACAATGAAGATATCAATTTCTCTTACAATGACTGAATCGATATGACCGTACCCCAAGTGATTTCTTATTATTTAAAAAATTTAAACATCAGTCACATGGCTCATGTTACAGTGGCGATGATGATTCCAAAGATATCATTCAAGAATGGGTTAAAGACTGTGGCATGATATAAAAGCATACACAAGTCAGATTTAGCATTTCAAACATATTTATTACACTGCATGATTTAAGCATATGCAAGTTAAATTTAGCTAAAAATTAGGTTAATAAACATATTAAGAACGTGCAACTCAATTTTAGCTAGTTAAACTTAATAATTAGTACAATTAAATTCAGTTTGTAGAGAAGCCTGATATTAAGCATATGCAATTAAAAATTAACTAATTAAAATGCTATTTAATACAATTAAATTCAAGTTGGTAGAAAAGCATGATGTCAAGCATATGTAAGATCAGCAAAAGTAAAATGTGAGTAGTATTATTGAAATATCCTTCGGATTAATTCCGATTATTATAAAAGAGTTTTAAAAAACTTACATATTTTTATCTAGTAATACTCAATTTCTTATTTCAGATTTTTATGGCCCTGGGGGGAAACCCCCCCTTTTTTTTACAAAAGCCTATAACATTAAATATACTGTGTGAAACTTATTACCCTAAAAGGTATTCAACCTTTAATAGTTTTAAAAATTCAGTGAATGGATCTTGCCATTATGACGAAAATTTTTTTCTTTGCAATTTTACTTAGAGAGACTGCTTGTTTGATTCTTTGGATTGCATCTGTGCACCAGTTACAAGATTAATGAAATTTGAAGCGTCATTAACAGTCTGATGCACATATTACCGATCCCTGCTTAAAAATGAGCATGTCTGCCATTCATCAATCATAATAGCTGTTCCCTTTGCCATGAGCTTCTTAATCAGCAGTTCTGTTGTTTTCTGAGAACATGTTTCTGATGAAGGCAATAATCTTTCTAAGGCACACCACTGCAGACAACTTCATTAATTGAATAAAAATAATTTCATCTATTCATTGTTACAAAATTCAGAAAAGATAGCATGGAAATTGCATGTGAAAATGTGAATGATGAGTGTGCTGTTAAAACTAGCAAAATTATGAGGAGCATTGTAAAAAGAACCAAAACCAGATTATAGATCATCAATTTAAATCTGGTAAGATGGCATGCAGAAATTATACAACTAAAAATATGAAACCGTAATTTATGAAATAAAGAACAATTATGATCCAAAGGGTATCAAAATTTACAAAAAAAAAAAAAAAAAAAAAGCTTAATATTTATTTGTTTACGTTATTAAACATTTCTTTCAACACGCGCATGCGTAAAGCATACATTATGCATAGTCGAAATTAGAAAATTGCAACCAGAAAACTATTTGATATGTATTCGTGATATTTATAATGATGAGGAAATTGATTTAAAGCATATCGGAGTACATCGAGATGAAACACTACATTTAGTAAAGAATTATAAGCCGAATAAAATAAAAACATCCGCCCTGAAGATGAGGATAGTGCTGACTTCCAGTTCAATGGGCGGCGGGATGTCCCCCCCCCCTCGCAGAGCAGCGTAAAATTGATAAACAGATTTCGGAATGGTTAGAGAAACAAATCACCTCTATGTCACTTTTCATGCATTTATTCATTTTTTTGCAGCAATTCCATTTTTTGTTTAATGGAGCTTTTTGGTTACAATAAAATTCATAGATTTAATCTAAAATAACTGTCAGACAAGTGAGATAAGTTGCAACAATAACACTAACCTTTATTTTTTCTCACAGAATTTTTCTTTTTTTTTTATAACATAAAATGCTTCTTTTTATAATTGCTTATGATCAGAATATTATCTGTGAGCTATAGATAGCCCAAGAAATGTTTTTTGTGAGTTCAGAAAGTCCTCATTGAGTTGGGTGTCCACATTATAAAAGAATACTACTTTTTTTTAATATAGTCAAAATTTCTTTTTCAGCTAATTAGATTTCTTGTGGTTTTAAACCAAAAATTCCCTTTCCCCATGTTATGCTTAATTTTCCAGTTGTTTAATGTAATGACATTTTAACCGATTTTATTTACTTCATTACCTGGTAAACTCCAGAACCATTAAAAGAAAATAGCAAAATCTGAGATCTGGAAGTCCAATATCTGGAATGATCTAAAATCTGGGCCTTAAACCCACCAACAAAAGTGTTTTCAGGAATTTTTTTTTTATGCTTTAGGCATGTGCATTTCATTTTTTTTTCCCGTAAGAAAACTTAAAATCCTGGTTCTTAATTTCACTTCAGCACTAAATAAAATCCCTTCTTATTGAAGAAACAATCATTTTAGAATAAATTTGTGTGATCAATAAATTGGCTCAGCTGCATATCTGCTTGGCATACATTTCAAATATATTATCTAATATTTTATATCCCTGATGCCACAACCTAGAGAATTATTATTTATTACTATATTTTGCTTTCATATTATTTATTATATTTTGCTTTTTCATCACTGTATGTTTAACAACATATGACGAGTCATGCAGTGATCCCTAAAAAAATTTTTTTTTTTTATTAGTAATTGAATAACAAAGAGTATGGAAACTTTTTATGTTGACATTATGCTTGGCAATGATTACAGATTTAAATTAAATGTGCTAAATGTTGACAAGGTCAAATTTTTTCCATATGCTAAAAATAGATTTTGTTAATGATACTCATAGGTTAAAAGATTAACTTATAGGCCAAAAGATTACATTTACTGCTTTTTGAATTAAGAATAACTGTTTATTTTATTCACATAAACCCATAACTGGTGCCAGAGCTCACATGGCTGCACTGGGCAGCAGAATTTAGGAAAGACATGAAGAGAAGAATCGAGAGACAATAGAGAAGCATCGAGTGACAAAATTAAGGGATGATAAAATTTTTAGAATTTAGGGAAAGCACTGGGATCTAAAATTAAGGGATGGTAAAAATTTAGAACTTAGGGAGGCACTTGGTAGGAGAATTTAGGACCTGCAGAGCAGCGAAATAAGACAGCAAATCATCAGGAAGCAAAATATCTAGCACCGGCCCTCAGTAAGCCTAAGTATATGAAGAAATTTATTTAGTCAGGACTCAGCTAAGTTTTAAGCATGTGCAAGAATTAGGCGTAAGTATAATAAATAACTAAATTAATACAATTAAGGCATAATTGTCTCAGTTTGTTGCGATAGGAGCAAGGCAAAATTTAACAGACCATTTTGTCACCATGCTACATAGCCAATCACATATAGTGGACACTGCGAAGCTAGACTAAAATTATACTTGACTGATTCCACAGAATTTCAGGTAATATAGCAGATTGCGCTGTTCCTTAACTTTCTGATTTGATCCAGCTTATTATTTTTTGTAGGGTGCTATTATAGCAATTTTATGGAAACTAAAGTTTGAACTTTTGATTATTTGAAAAGAGGTTCTAATTCTGGAGCTGCAACAGGATCTATAAAGTGAAAGCATGCTTTGATGTCCACAAAAAAAAAAAAAAAAAAGCCACAAAAAAGCTGCAATCTGAAGAAGTGACAGAAGGCGAGAATGGGATGTTTGTTCTTTCTGAAATGGAGGGCTTATTGCAGAAGGAATCATTTCTTCAATGAAGAAAAGAGAAACTAGTTTGCTAGGCAGTGAGATCTTGCTGCGTTCAATATATGGAGATCCAAAACACCAAAATTTCTTGGATGACAAACAAATTAAAAAAACAAAGAAAGTCATCTATGAACTTCCATTAAGAATGAAATTATTCTCAGAACAATTGCAGAATTCGAATCAGGAGAGTCAAACTGCAGACATTGCAATTGAGTCTCTATCATTCTTTTCCATTGATGAATTAGATTTTGAGAAATATTTTTGGATAATATTGAAAAGCAAAGGCAAAGCAAATAAAAATAAAATACAAGAGCCTTTAGATATAAAAATGAAAAAATACAAAAAAGATATCTATACGGCCTTTGAAAAAATAGAGAAATATGATTGCTCTTGCAAGACACCTTTTTTAGAACTTATAAAAAATCTATCCTGAAAAGTGAAAAGAAGTAGCCCTAACAGTAACAGCTCTTCCTCCTACTCAAGTTAATGTGAAAAGAATTTTCTCAGCTCTGAAGTTTATCAAATCGGATCTATAGCCCTCCAACAAAGAAAATCTTGCCGCAGCTATACTGTTTCTTAGAAATAACTAATGCCAGTTT